AACATTTTGTGCATTTTAAAGTTAAATGCATAAATCTGGTGCACGTCAACCCCTTTTCAGTGACCAAGCCAAACAATTGGAATACAATAATAAAGAAAGAAAGAAAATAATATATTCAAATTGTTGGTCTAATTATTAACAAATTGATGATGATGATGATGATGATGGTGATTGTTATTGTTAATTTTAAGTCAGTGTAGTGTGAACTAATAATATTAAACCATTGCTAGAATTAATGTAATATTAATATTAAAATTAATTGATATAATTATGAAATATTCATTTATTTTTACAGTGCAAGTGTATTGTATTATTATTATTGTTGTTATTGTTAACATTAAGAAATAAATATATTACTACTATAATGCCCTTGCACTGTAAAATTAAAATATATATATATTCCATCAATTATATATATTATTTTCTATAGTGTAAATATTATATTAATAATTAATCTTTGTAAATAAATGTTAATAAATACAAATATATATATTTTTTTTCAAGTTTTGTACATTTTAAAGTTGAATGCATCAATAATAATAATAATAAAAAAAAAAAATATATATTTATATATTATTTGGCTTCCTAAAAATCTTTGTGAATGTAATGTGGTCTGATTATATTATTATATTACAATTATTATAATTAATACAAAAAATTAATTCATAAAATTATGAAATATTCATTTATTTTACAGTGCATGTGTATTTTATTGTTATTTTATTATTATTATTGTTAACATGAAGAAAAATATATTGCTACTGTAATATCCTTGCACTGTAAAATTAAAAATTGTATAATTATAAATTATTTTCTAATAGAAATATTATATTAAATATTGATCTTTTGTTATTATTAGAAGTGTAATATATTTTAGATTCATTATCAAGTTAATAGTTCATAAGAAACATTTATTGAGTCGGTTCTACTCATACTAGACTGGTGTGTTTTTGGTATCAGAATACTGGTGTGTTTGACGTCCAGTGTGCACAAAAGCTTATATGAGTGACGATTTCTTACGACAGGCCTGTTCTGATCTCTGCACATTTCATTCTTGCTTTCTCTCCCTCCTTTATCTGCATGGCCTTGGCGCTTGGCTACGTTTCCCTCTCAACAGAGATGACGCTGTAGTGAGCGAGCGCGTGCTGCACGTTTTCTCGCAAGTGGGCGGCAGTGGGAAGGTAAGCTCTGCCCTGAGACCAGAGTCAAGGAAGTGTGGCGTAATGACTCATTTGTAGAGTGCAGTGTGTGGCTGCATGTGCGGAGGATGAAAAGCGGCGTCCTCTGGCCTCGCTGCCTCCTCTTCCACCCCCTCTGAACGCGGCTCACAAATTTCCCAAGATCCCCGTCACTCCCTCAAGCCTGGGTCTGAATCCAAATGTGTCCGGCACAACGTCTGCGTTCGGCGTAAAATCCAAGCGTTATCGGTCTGCGCGAGGCAGGGAGATTTCCATGACAAAGACTCAGTCGTCTGGGGTTTCAGACCCCCCTGTTCGTCTGGCTGCGTGTGAAAGGCTGGGGTCTCTCAGACTGGCCTGTGTCTGCTGTAAGAGGCCCACCAGGTAAAAAGGGATTCAACTTCCTTACAGAGCAGCCATGCAACAGCGAGCGCTCACATTTGCAGCTGACTTGCTTCTGGAAGTATTTTTCCTATTCGTTTTTTATGGGCACTTGAACCAACCAGGTCTGAGACTAATCACTTTTGATTCGAAGCTAAAAAGGTACATGCTCATGTACTTTGTCTTTTATAAATCAAAGCATTTTCAGTTATTTACATTTCAGTATTTAGCAATATCCAAAGCAACTTACAAAAAAGGAACAAAGCAATTTATCAAAGAACCAACAATAATTGTAATACACAATTCCAGGTTTATTAGACAATTATGAAATTGAATCATAAGAGAAGGTGCAATATAAACCTTCACTATATGATTTTATTGATTGCAAGTGTTACATATACAGTGTCTTTGTATATTTGAAACTTTTGACTTTTTAAAGCAAATGTTTTTGGAATACATCAGTTTCACCAAATGTTTATTTATTTATTTAGCTAGTTATTGATATTTGTGTTGGGTGTATTGAACTCTGGGATAAGATTTAAAACAAAAATTGAAATAAGTCTCTTCTGTTCACCAAGAAAAAAAAAATACAATAAAAATAGTAATATTGTGAAATATTATTACAATTTAAAATAATTTTGTATTTTAATATATATATATATATATATTTTTATATAATTGATTCTGCTTGTAATTTATGATTATTTGTAATTTTATTTAATTTATGTTCCTTGAGAAACCGTTTCAGAAGAAACATTTCTTATTATTATCAATGTTAAAGCAGTTGTAACCTGTAGTTCTAGATTTTTATTATTGTTTTAAAATATATTTAATTTGCTTTTTAATGTTTTTATTCTTATTCTTTATTCTTTTTTATATTTGAAGTCACTTTTTTTTTTTTAGAATCACTGCTTCATATTTTTGTGGAAACCATGATACCTTTTTCAGGATTCTTAATAAAAAGAGCAAAAGAACAGCATTTATTTGAAATTAAATATTTTTTAACGTTATAAATGTATTTACTGTCACTTTTGATCAATTGAATGTGTCCTTGCTTAATAAACATTCATTTCTTTAAAAAAGCAGTTCTGTATAATATATATTTAGTTTTGATGAAAATAAAAATGACAGATCACATAAAGCAAGATGAATAATGATTATTCATTCAGGTTCTCTGAATGATTCTTGTTTTTCTAGCTTTTTTTTAACCGTGACTCTGCTCTCTTCGGCAGCGGTTATGAGTCAAATGGGATGAATCACTCTCAGCCTGACATTGGTTTAGCTCAGACAGATCTCTGGCCGTTTTCTGGGTAATGCTGGACTGAACCTTCAGTACACTTCTGCCATCTCGTTACGAGAATCTTGTTAGACGGTGCTGCAGAAGCCAGACAGCTTGTGTTTTGGGTTGTCATCTTAAAGGCGAACCGTGTCGTTTCTGCTAGTATCAAATTCAATTGCAAGATTAATGATGGTTTACCAAAAACTGCCATTGTTTGGACAAAAAGGTGGTTCTGCTCCAAACTTACACCAGTGGTTGAACCAGAACTTGTTGGACCGTTTAAGCAAACACATTGTAAATAGATGCTTATTATAACTTTGAATTTTGAGTTTTTTTTTATTGCTGTTTTTTTATTCCCTCTTACTCTTTTTAAGTTTTTATTGCTTACTTTTTATTGTTGTTTTTATTTTGTACCCTTTATTACTCTCATTATTATTTTTTTATCTTTTTCATTTCATAATATTCTGTGTATATAAAACAAAGTTTTCTTTTGAAGTTTTAGATATATTTTTTTCAATTGTAAATGTTTATATTAATTTATATATGAATTATTTTTCTCAGTTAATGAAAATATTTTCTATCCATCTATATATCTATCTAATACGAATCGTCATTATTCTCTTGCTTTACAATATATTATGTTTGTGTTCTGGAATTTTGAGAATATAGTTGGAAATGCATTCTAACTAAAGGAATAGGCCTAGTTCACCCAGAAATGAAAATTTACTCACCCTTAGGCCATCCAAAATGTAGATGAGTTTCTTTCTTCATCTGAACAGATTTGGAGAAATTTAGCATTACATCATAAAGCAATATTATGGGTTATGGACTATATTTTGGCCAGAAGTGATGGTTTAAAATTACATCTTGATGGATTTGTTTCTTACAAACATGCAGCTTTTGGCTTCTCAAGATGTTAACTGATGGACTGGAGTGGTGTGGATTACTTCTGGATTATTGTGATGTTTTTAATCAGCTGTTTGGACTCTCATTCTGACGGCATCCATTCACTGCAGAGCATCCATTGGTGAGCAAGTGATGCAGTGCTACATTTAATAACATGACAGATGATATATGCATATTCATGTCATGCATATTCATTAGTCTGTTTGTATCAAGGTATTGATTTAGTATTGAGGTACCAGTTGCATACATCCCTTTTAATGACTCTAAATGAATGATGAAATCCCAGGCCAATCTAGCCTCAGCCCATTACTGAATGTGAGAGATGAAACATGTCCACAAAAGCAGAAGCATGTGTGGCCAGATGTAACTGAGTGGGCCATGAGGTTCACTTTAATACAACTCTTGTACATGGACTGAAATGACTCATGGGTAAGAAATCCCATTTCTGAGGGTGGCAACATTTGATTCATTGAACATCACCATCACTTCTGTTTATTGTGTTTTCTTTCCCCGGTCCTCCTCCACAAAGTTGCTGAACTCTGATGTTTTTCTTCTCACAAGGCCCACGAGTGGAAGTTGCCTGCGATGAATCTGCTAGTGTGTCCTGGGTGTCTCACAGTCAGGGAATCATTAACTGCAATCACTGTCAAACTCAGTCATGAAGTTGGTATTAAATTTTCAGCATCTCTCTGTAGGCACCAGCCGTCTGTTCAGAGCTATGGCTTCGTCTTTGCCACATGCACACAGCCTCTTCAGACATCGTCTCTTTACCGTTTTCTGCTGAATCTCAGAACTGGCCAACTGGCACTGACTTGAGAACTGACTCAAATTGAATGAATGTAATTTGAGAATTCAGAATTTTTTTTTGTTGTTGCAATTTTATGCCAGTTTTGAAAATATATTGTGATATTTGAAAATGGTTATATATTTTTTATTTATATAAATTGTTTATATTAATTTAAAATAATAATTGTATTTGTTATAAAATACGTTTAAAATACAATACAAAATACATATTTTTATTTAAATATGTTACAAGTACAATTATTTTAATATTTAAATATCTAATATAAAAATAGCATTAGTCAATTCACACACATTGATATTTATAAATAAAAGGCAGGTTGAAGTAGCAATGCATCAAAAAAACCATCTAGTTTCATTTTGCGCTGTTGTTGTTTTGAACCTCGCCAGTGATGTTACTGTTTGGTGCAAATGCAAGAGTATGTAACATTTTGTTGCTCTGTCCCTCTCAGGAGACGTTGGGGCCCAGGCCCTGTTCTCCGTGCCACGGAGGCCCGGCTATGGCACCGTGGGGAAACCCATCAAGCTGCTGGCCAACTGCTTCCAGGTGGAGATCCCCAAGATGGACGTCTACCTGTATGAGGTGGACATCAAGCCTGAGAAGTGTCCACGCCGCGTGAACAGGTAAGCTGTGTGGGAGAATCGCTCAAAGCTGGTGACCGACTCCTTTATACTCCTCCTGATGAGCGCTGTCTCTGCAGGGAGGTTGTGGACTCCATGGTGCAGCACTTTAAAGTCACCATCTTTGGGGATCGAAGGCCAGTTTATGATGGGAAGAAAAGCCTCTACACCGCCAACCCACTGCCTGTGGCGCCTGCGGGGGTAAGCGAACTAAAACATAGAGACGCCCACCTAGGATACATTTTAGGTGCACAAATTGTTATCCAGTGACACATTCTGTAGAAAGTTTGCACAATAAAACATCATGATATTCACAAAGTTCCTCAGTTGCATCTTGTCACTAAAATTGCATATATATATTAAGAATATTTTGAAATTATTGATATTTCCTGTTGATGTAACCGTTACGGGGTTGTTTTAGTATCATTGATATACAGTTATAGTTTTTTTTTATATTTTGAATTAGATTTTGTGTTTATTTTCGGTTTTCATCTTAATTTAAAAAATGTTTTTTTAATATGTCTGTATTGTTTTTATTAAGTTTTTAGTTTATTTAGTTTGAGTTATTTTAGTACTTCAAGTTTATATATATATATATACAGTGGGTACGGAAAGTATTCAGACCCCCTTAAATTTTTCACTCTTTGTTATATTGCAGCCATTTGCTAAAATCATTTAAGTAAATTTTTTTTCCTCATTAATGTACACACAGCACCCCATATTGACAGAAAAACACAGAATCGTTGACATTTTTGCAGATTTATTAAAAAAGAAAAACTGAAATATCACATGGTCCTAAGTATTCAGACCATGTGTATATATATATATACACACACACACACACACGTATGTATATGTACTTTTTTTGTTGAAATTATTGAAATTTGTAGTTTCCTTAGATGAGATTTAGCATTACTAATATACTGCTATTGTGTTTTTTTTTTTTTAATTTACATTTTTTTTTACACTTTGGATTAGATTTTGCTTTTATATTATGGTTTCCATTTTAATTTTAATGTTTTGGTCATTTTGTTGTGTTTTGTTGTCACTTATTACTTTTTATCACTTTTTTAATGTCTGTAGTTTTGATTAAGTTTTAGTTTATTTTTTAGTTATGTTAGATATTGAACTAAAGTTAAACTAAGTTAAACTAAATGAAAATGAGAAATTTCTTGCTGTTGATTTTTTGTCAGTTAATTTTAATTTCAATTAAAAACTTTTTTTTTATATACTTTTAGTTTTAGTTAATGATAACACCGCCTTGCTGAATATTTGCTGAATGAAGTCCAATACTTTTATTTTGTTCTAATTTTGTGATGCTTATTCCAAAAATAGTGTCTGTTTTGCTTTCTCCCAAAATATGGTGCATTTCATTGTATTTTTGCTTTCAACTACCATTTGTGAAGTGTAGAAGTCTTGTGAATGATTCTGAAGACATTATTCTTTGTCAAATCTTGATTTTCACCTTTTTTTTTCCACTCCTTTGCTGAAACTTTTGATTTGACTGCTTTGTTATTTTAAAAAGTATATTAAAACTGACACATGTATATAATATATAATTGAACTCGGCATCATCAAATTAGGTAATATCAGGCCTGTTTTTCAAATGAGCATGGTGTATTGTTGCTCTACTCCTTGTTGTGTGTCCACAGGTGGATCTGGACGTTACGCTGCCAGGGGAGGGGGGTAAAGACCGACCCTTTAAAGTCAGTATTAAATTTGTGTCGCTGGTGAGCTGGCACCTGTTGCACGAGGTACTAACCGGTCGCAGTACATCAGAGCCGCTGGAGCTGGACAAGCCAATCAGCACCAACCCAGTTCACGCTGTGGACGTGGTGCTACGCCATCTACCCTCCATGAAGTGAGTCTCAGATAACATCAGCTGGTGACCCTGACTCTCCTGCATTTATAGCTCAGATAATATATTTTTATAGTTATACAGAGCCCCCTAACTTGTGTTTGCTGATTTTTATTGTATTTGTTATACTTGTATTTTTTTTTTATTGTTTTTGCCATGAAAATAGCCTAAGATGCTGACATGGCATTAAATAAAAATATACTACTACTATACAGGGACCCCAGAAATATTTAAACACATATTTTAGAGCATTACTTATCAAAATATGCATGCAAGTGGCTTGTTGAAACAAATGATGCTTAAAGTCGGCATGAAGTGAAGGAAAGTTCAGTATGATTTATTTTTAATTTTTTTTATGAGATTAGCCTAATAGTTATTTTCAGCATTAAATTGGTCAGTACTGACATTCATAATGTCACAAAAGATTATACTTCAGATAAATGCTGTTCTTTTGAACTTTCTATTCATCAGAGAATCCTGACAAATGAAATGTATCACAGTTTCCACAAAAATATGAACTGTTTTCAACATTAGCAATCAGAAATGTCTCTTTAGCAGCACATCAGCTTATTAGAATGATTTCTGAAGATCATGTGACACTGAAGACTGGAGTAATGATGCTGAAAATTCAGCTTTGCATCAATAAATAAATTACAATTTACTATATATTCACATAGAAACAGTTCATTCAAATAAATGCAGCCTTGGGCAGCATAATAGCTTTCTTTTGAAGTAGTGTATTTCTGATTAAAACAGCTTCACTACAACAAAAACCTGCGTACTTCATAGACGTCAAGTGAACATATCACAAGAAGAGCAAGTTTTGACCTTTTGATTAAAGATTACAAAGCAATATATATATAAAATATATAAATAAATGCACCAGTAATCCTTTCATAGTAACATAAATTAAGAAAATAAGTGTTTTTCTTTTCTTGTAGATTTAGTTTTCATGTTTTTTTTTTTGTTTTTTTTCCAGTAATTTTTTATTATTCAGTTTTGATTTTATGCCAGCTGTTGAGTTTTCTTAGACATAGCTTTTCAGCTGGTGGTTTTAGTGGATGCTTGACGTCAGTTCCCCTCCAGTATCACTGAATCCCTAATAAAATACAGCATTTTAAACCTCATTTTGCTGTCTGTGTTGTTTCTCGCAGGTACACACCCGTGGGCCGCTCGTTCTTCTCTGCCCCGGAGGGCTACGACCATCCTCTGGGTGGAGGCAGAGAGGTGTGGTTCGGCTTCCACCAGTCTGTTCGGCCGGCCATGTGGAAGATGATGCTCAACATTGACGGTGTGCACTGTTTGAGTTTAGCATGTGTGTTAGCACAGAGTGTGGGAACCGCTCGCACTGTTGCTGGGGTGATGAAGGACTGAAAGGTGGCGGGTGGGGGTTTGTTTGATTGAAGGGGGGCGTTAAATAAGTCTCTCTTTCTCTCTGACCAAGTTCAACAGCAGTTCATGTGTGAGGTACTGGACATCCACAACATCGACGAGCAGCCTAGGCCCCTCACAGACTCCCACCGAGTCAAATTCACCAAAGAAATCAAAGGTACGTGTGCTTGTGTGCTCGTCTGTGTTTAGGCGCGTGTGTTTGTCCCGTTCTCATCGGCTGGTTTGTGTGCAGGTCTGAAGGTGGAGGTGACACACTGCGGAACCATGCGGAGGAAGTACCGGGTCTGCAATGTGACCCGCCGGCCCGCCAGCCACCAAACGTGAGTCAAACCGTCAGAGGAAGTCAAGCGTATTGATTGCAGAGGGCAAAGTCACATTGCTTGAATATGATTTTTGGCTTGATTTAAAGGTGCTCTCAGCAATTTGTTTTCAGATTAAAAAGTTTTATACCTAAAATCAAATGTTTTAGATATTGTACTCTTGTGAGACAATGTTAGTCATATGTGACCCTGGAGCACAAAAGCAGTCTTAAGTCACACGGGTATATTTGTAGCAATAGCCAAAAATACAGTTAAAATTGACCTTTATGACTGGTTTTGTGGTCCAGGGTCACATATTATTGGCCTAATAAAAGCCATTTTATTTTACATGGAGCATTTTGCTCCTCACATGATCACCCTAGTATCATAAATAAATGTTTTATGAATATGTGTTTCTGCAATGGCTTTAACCTGAAACTTTTGTGTTTGGGTTAATAATTAAAGTGCACCAATAAAACAATGTTCTGAATAGTATACTATATACTTTCTGAATGGTATATTCAGAATACTATGTATGTATGCATTTATTTATTTCATATTTTATATCCGTTCGTTCATTAATTAGTTCGTTCATTCTAACATCCTGTGTGTTTCTTCATTTCAGAGTTTTAAAAGTCTCATAATCTGAATTCTGGCCAATCAGCCACAGTTTTTACTAGTTAATAAAACTGCAAAAGTTGAAGTCTTAACATACGAAACGTTTTATTGATTTAAAATGTTTGTGTGTTTTAAAATTAATTCATTTTGGGACTAATAGACTATGCTTTTTTTAGTGTTATTTATATACTGTTATACATTATAGTTTAGAATCTATAATATTATATATAGTATTTATATGTATTTTGAATTAGCTTATTTTTTTTTAATTACAGTTTTCATTTTCATTTTAGTTTTAGTCATTTTTTTAGTAAGTAGTAAAAATATGATCTGAATAGTATACTAACTACTTTCTGAATGGTATATTCAGAATGCTATTTATTTATTTGAATAAATAAAAATGAAATCTGTTTTATTAAATAATTTTTACTGTTCTTATTTAAAATATAGCTGCTTAGTACTGTAGTACAATAATTGTATCATAATAACTATAAAAAATGTAGTATGTGAAACAATGCATTATGTACTGTAGCTGTAGTATGTTGCATTGTCACATGACCTCGTTGTGTTGCATGCAGGATATTTGCATACTTTAGCCAGTATGCATAGTACATGCTGCAGAAATAGTAAGAGTAGTGTGCTAGTATGCATTCCAAACAGAAGGAAGCAGTTTAGCGCTCCTCTTTGATGCCCTCTAGTGGTGGTTTGTAGTTCAGTCATGTTTCTTGATTCCTTCCAGGTTCCCTTTGCAGTTGGAGAACGGCCAAACTGTAGAGCGAACAGTAGCTCAGTATTTCAGAGAGAAGTACAGCCTGCAGCTCAAATACCCCCACCTGCCCTGCCTACAGGTGGGCCAGGAGCAGAAACACACCTACCTGCCCCTGGAGGTCAGTCCTGCCATCCACACATCCTCTCGTTGTGACCAGCCTTATTTTAGTGTCTTTGATATACCTTTATAGTTTTTGTTAATATTTTGAATTATCAAAATGAGAAGTGTTACCTTTGCAACTAGCTGAAATAAAATAAAAATTTTGCTCTATTTTGGTTAATGTTTATTTTATTTCAAGTAATTGTTATTGTTTTTATTAATGTTTTGAATTAGATTTTATTTTTTTATTTACCGTTTTCATTTTAATTTTAGTTAGTGGTTTAGTCATTATTTGTGTGTATTTCTGTTTGCCATTTTTATAGGTTTATTTATTTATTTTTAAATTAGTTTTAGTTTATTTACTTTTAGTTCTTTTAGTATTTAAAGTTATGGTAAATGGAAATAAGAAGTGTTGCCTTGGCAACTAGCTGAATTAAAATGGGGAAAAAAGCTAGTTTTATTACAAGTAATTTTTTATGGTTTAAGTGAACAACTTTTGTAATTTTTGTTAATGTTTTGAATTAGATTTTATCTTTATATTTTCAGTTTTTAATTGATTTTTACTTAAGGTTTTAGTAGTGTTGTTTGTTTTTGTCATTTGTATTTTTTTATTAGTTTGAGTTATTTTAGTACTTTGAGTTAAACTAAATGAAAATGAGAATGTTGCCTTGCAACTAGCTGAAATAAAATAATAAAACGAATAAAACAAAATAAAACGTTTATTTAATTTCAAGTAATATTTTTAAGGCCTTTTAGTTAATATTAATAGATTTTGTTAATGTGTTGAATTAGATTTTGTCTATTTTCAGTTTTTAGTTTTAGTAGAAGTTTTAGTAATTTTGTTGTATGTATTTCTATTTGTCATTTTTATTATTATTTTTAATTAGCTTTAGATTATTTAGTTTTTGTTATTTTATTATAAATTGTTGTTTTATAAATGTTGCCTTGGCACTAGCTGAAATAAGTTTTTATTTTATTTTATTTTTTTAAAACCCTAATTTACTTGCTGCTGTTTTTGTAGGTGTGTAATATTGTAGCAGGGCAGCGGTGCATCAAGAAACTGACAGATAATCAAACGTCCACCATGATCAAAGCCACAGCGCGATCAGCACCAGACAGACAGGAGGAGATCAGCAGACTGGTGAGTGGCATTCATAGTCATACGCACGTAATTCAGTTGCATAATAATTCATATCCACACCATCTATGTGTTTAAACCTCTCCTCTCATGTTCCTGCTGTCCATCTGAATGAGTTGAGGTTGCTCTCTGTGTTAATGGAGGTCAGCCATGACTTTATTGTGAGCTGATTAGCTGTAATCTCTCCACGAGGGCACTTTGTGAACTCTTTACCCCATTCCCTGCAGATTTACAGTCTTCCAGCCGTCAGTTCTGAGCTGATAACTTGTGACTGAAGCCCTGCTGCTCTTTATACCTTATTAAAATGACAGCCAATCAGGCGCTGAATCAGTGAAACCCTGGCTGGTTTTTCATTTCGATGTAGAATCTCCAAACAGGAGTGGAGAGGCAGCGTGGGTGGAAAGCATCTGACGAGGCCAATGAAATGTACCAAACGAAAAAGTCTCACTTTGAGACGGAGCTAAAAATACCTCGGTGAGAGTATTTTTACTCTGTGAAGTACAGCAGGATCTGAGCTGGGATATCTTCAGCTCGCAGCATGAAGTGTTTCTGACAAACATCCTGCGTCTTCAGTCAGTCTCAGGAGAGTTTCTTCATTTCAGTCTCATATCCTCTGAATTCTGGCTAATAAAAGCCACGGTTTTACCTGTTATTAGGACTGCAGAGGTTAAAGTGTTAACATTTGAGTAGTTTTATTGATTTTAAATATTTGTATGTTAAAACTGATTCATTTTAGGACTAATAGAATAATTTCAATATTCAATATTAGTAGTGTAATATTATAAGTTATAGTATTAATATTTTAAATATTTTATCCTGCCCCTCTCGTCACAGTAACATTCTACAAATCTTTAGGTGCAGTATACGACTTTGAGTGATTTTCACAAAATGGTTCTAAATATTGTTATAAGTGTTCATGTATAATGATATAAAATGATTATAAATATGTGGTGCATATAATATATAAAAATTTGGATGTTTACATAATTGTGAGCACAAGTATTTGATTTAAAAAAATGCAGAAATGTAGTAATCATGCTAGCTTATGATTCAGATTTTTATGCGTTATAATTGTCTCCAATCTTCCCTATATACAGGTTTGTTTTGTGAAATGTACTTGTACAGTTCTTTGAGTTCAGTCATTGGACAGCTTCATGAGTTCCTCTCATGTTCAGTGTCAGTGTCAGACGTATGCTGTTGTGTTTGTGCTCTCACACGTCCTGTGCAGCAGATCAACCTTGAGCTGTCGTTACAGAACCGCACTGTAGCCACACCCAGCCATGGAGTTTGGGACATGAGAGGGAAACAGTTCCACACCGGGGTGGAGATCAAGATGTGGGCCATCGCCTGCTTCGCCACACAGAGACAGTGCAGAGAAGAGATCCTCAAGTAAGACTCCACAACTTACTGACTGTCAACACTGCTTAAAAGTATCAGGGCCGCATATTTTCTAATAAAAATTGCAGTTGTGATTTTTAAAATGCGGTTTAAGAAAAAAATCCAGGTTTGCTACTGTATGTTTGTTTGCAGGGCTGCATAATTTGGCCAAAATTTCATAAAATAAATAAATAAATATCAGCATGGCTATAAAATAATAATTATATTGTTATTATTATTATTATTAGTAGTAGTATTAATAGCAAAATAATAAAAAATAAAATAGAAAATACTAAATAAAAACATTTACTTTTGTAGTAAAATTACTAAATTACTTGAATTAAAACAAAATAGGAAATGTTACTATTGTAATAGTTCACTGTAAAATAAAAAATTGACTATTTAAGAAAATATAATAATAATAAAATTATTTTAAAATATACTGAATAATTAGTAGAAATTACTGAATAAAAATAAGAAATGTTACTATTGTAATACTGTATTTCACTGTAAAATCAAGAATTAAAAAAGGATAATAATAATATAATGTTATAATATATATAATATAATTATAATACAATATACTGTATAATAAAAATATAAATAAGACAATATGAAAATATATTTAATATACAAAATAAGTAAAAATACTAAATGTATATTAAATTACTAAATAAAAAAACAAATAAATGTTGCTGCTGTAATATTTCACTGTACTACAAATAAGTTGAGTATTTAAGAAAAATAATATAATGATAATATAAATGTAACACAGTTCATAGATATGGGAAGACGGAGGCAGGAACTGGCGAATATTCAAATAATTTAATAATCAAAATAGACAAACACAAAACGAAAGTAAAGCAGCAGCCCCTCGTGGACAACTGCCGCACACAAAACACAAAATAAAGTCTAGGTCCAGGCCTGGTCCTCTCTCGTCTTGCACTGTTTGCTCCTCCGCGGGACTCGAGACCGGTGAGTGGTGCAGGTGTCGCTCGTTAATTTATCATTAAACTCCACCAGCCTCGCTCCGCTCCCACGGCTCTCAGCCCCACCCCACTCCTCACAATAAATAATAATAAAATAAATTAATAAAAACATTTCAAAGATACACTAAATAAAAAGTAAAAATACTAAATAAATAACAAGTAACAATGCTTAACTGTAAAATAAAAAAGGAGCATTCAGAAAAATAATATAATTTATTATATTGTAATTTTATTTTAATTAAATTGTTTTATATTCTGATGCAAAACCACAAGGAGGTATGAACACAATACGGTGCTTCACTCTAAAACACGCAGTGCATATACTTATTAATTAAATCGCAGCCTTTGTGATTTGATAATTGCACTAAGCAATATTGTGGCTTTGGTTTTATCACCAGTGCAGTACATTCAACACTTAGATGTTTCTTAATTACATTTCTCCTTACAGGGGTTTCACAAATTACATGAAATACATCCGGAAACAGATTTTTAATCTCTTTTAAAACTAGATTTGATCAAGTGGTATTTACCAGATGTTGCATAGGTCATACAAGACTGACTCATGAATTTTTGCATAAAAAATTAAGGCCCTACTCAGTGTATGTTTTGCAAGATTCCCCTTTCTGTCAAACATATAGCGAAATGATTATTATTGTTGTTGTTGTAGCTTTATCTCTGTAAAAATAAAGGAATGTAAGCTGTTACTGTTAAAATAAAAATTAATATTTGATGATGATAATTTTATTTGACTACAAGTTACAATATTAATGTCTTAAATTTCAAATATTAAAACCCTCAATCTTAACATTACAAATCATTTAGCTTTTATTTTGGCAGAATACTGGTTGTTATTAATTAGTGTTAATTTTGTCAGCTATTTTAAATTTTAGTCTTAGTCTTAGTCCCGTGTTAAATGTCCTTGTTAGTTTTTATCATATTTAGTCAACATTATCCTATTTAGTTTTAGTCTAGTTTTAGTCGACTAAAAGTCTCAACATTTTAGTCTAATTTTAGTCAAAGGAAACCTTAGCTTTAGTCAAGTTTTAGTCAAAGAAAATCTAAAGTATTTTAGTCTAGTTTTAGTGAAAACTTGACATTTTAGCAATAAGATTATTATTAATTAACCGTACAGCAGTATTAATTTTGGTAGCCATTCTTAATTTAGTCTCTTACTCAAATGTACATTTTAGTTATCATATTTAGTCAACCTTGTCCTGTTTTTGTTTAGTCAAGTTTAACTATAATAACAGTGAAATTATAGTAATTCCAAACTAATTCCAAATGGCAATAGCCTATTTCTCTATTAAAACAACAGCGGTTGAGTAAGTGCATTTATTCAGCGATCACAATCACAAACAATATGCATAGGTCATACAAGACTGACTCATGAATTTTTGCATAAAAAATTAAGGCCCTACTCAGTGTATGTTTTGCAAGATTCCCCTTTCTGTCAAACATATTTTATTGGACTGTCCAGCTTTTAATGCATGTAGAAAACTCTTTTATGAAGTGAATTCACTTAAAGAGTTATTTAGTATAATTTTGCCAGAAAAAGTTTTACAGTTTTTTTTTATCATAAGTTAATGTAAAAAATCTTGTGTAATATAACTTGTTTGTTTGTTTGCTGGTTTTTATTGTACTTTTTATACTTGCATTTTTTTTTTTTTTGCCATGAAAATAGCCTAAGATGCTTACATGGCATTAAATAAAAATATACTACTACTACTGCTACAGGGGTTTCACGGACCAGCTGCGTAAGATCTCAAAGGACGCTGGGATGCCGATCCAGGGTTTTATTCAGCGATCACAATCACAAACAATACAGTCGAGATCTCACGACAAAACACAGACCGGTTGAGTGACGCTTTCATTTAGATCGCTAAACTCCAGCTTGTTTGTCGCTGTTTTCAGATCATCGGCAGCGGCGCTTCCGCAATGAGGAGTGAGCGCGCGAGCATGGTTGCCAGATTGCTTAAAATATGACGAACATTTTTCATCATACTTTCCGTTAACGAAATTAACACTTATTATTATTAGATAGTAACTTTAACTCTTTAAAAATGAAGAATGTAGCCTATTACGGTTGAAAAATTCATATTTGATAATTATAATTTTATTTTAGACTACAAGTTAAAATGTTCAAATATTCAAACCCTCAAGCTTTTAACAATTCAAATCCTCTAGCTTTTATTTTGGTGTAGCACTGGCTTCATTTTACATTCTATTTGATTAATTGTTTGCTTTTCATCAAATCCTGAAACCCCTGCAGTTCACTCATAAACCCTCCTTTTGGGAAACCCTGATTTATTGACTGTTACATACAGACAAAGCTGATTTGTAGACACTATCCAACGCAGTATTATACAACATTGCTAATGGTTGGTTTGTGATGGTGTTAAATATGGCTCATGAACTCTTAACTAATGTAGTGTGTTTGTATGTGCTGTTTCTCAGGCCGTCAGTGTTTCAGCAGCCAGTCATCTTTCTGGGGGCGGATGTGACGCATCCACCTGCAGGAGACGGGAAGAAACCCTCCATTGCAGCGGTCGGTGTCGCTTAGAGCTGAATGATATAACAGATACGTTATGTACAGTCAAACCAAAATGTATTCAGACACCTTCAACATTGCTCACATTATCACAGTTTATTCACTATAGTTTAGAAAATGGTAATAAAATATGACAAGAACTCAAGAGTTAAACGGTCAGAACAAATTCATCTTGATAATATCACATAACTTTGATAGAAAGGTATGTAATGAATTCGATTGAATAGCTGTCAGCTGTTAAATTTAAGTACACAATTAGATCATACCAGTTTAGGTCAACCAATTACCAAGCAATGCTTAATTTTGTTCAGTCTGTGGTGTGAAAAGTTAGCATTAGCAATTAAAGAAAAAACACTTAAGCAAAACACGGTCAGGTCAAAGTGTCTGAATAATTTTGGTAACAAATTTTTACAGAACAGAAAATAAAACTTTGTTTTTATATAGTATCTTTAACTATAAAAATTAAGACAGAAATATAGGCTATTAAAGTAAAAAATTAAAATCTAATAATTCTATTTTGGTATTTTAATACACGTTAAAATACTAGTATTTATGTCTTAAATTCTTAACTTTCAAATGTTAAAACTCTTAAGCTTTTAACATTTCAAATCATCTATCTTTTATTTATATATATAAATTTTGTTCAGTCTGTGGTGTGAAAAGTTAGCATTAGCAATTAAAGAAAAAACACTTAAGCAAAACACGGTCAGGTCAAAGTGTCTGAATAATTTTGGTAACAAATTTTTATCAGTTTTACTGGTAGTCCACTGTATGAAGAATTTTTGAGTATGACATGTCACAGTTTACTTCATTTTGCTATCCTCACTTACATAAATGAACTATAGTGTCCTGCATCCACTAGTAAAAAATATCCAAAAATAATTTCATTTATTTATATAGCACAAATAAACACAACAGGAGTTGACCACTGTGCTTTACAGAGTATAAAACTATGATAATGAGAATAAAACATAATTAAGAGTTGCTAAATGCTTGGGCCAGAAGATAAGATTTAAAGGGTTAGTTCACCCAAAAATGAAAATTCTGTCATTTAATTACTCACCCTCGTGTTGTTCCAAACTAGGGATGTGCGGGTCTAGTCGACTAAACGGTACAGCTCCTACTAGTCGACACTGAAAACAATAGTCGATTACACAACAGAAAAAACAAAAACAAAAAAAAAACATGATTTTATCATTCAAATTACCATCATTTTAACATTGCATTTAAAACATTTTAAATAACAAGTTAAAATAAAAAGTTTGAAAAATAATACATTATTTGTAAAAGTTTATCTGGGCGGAAACTACATTTTTACCTCAGACCTCACATGCGTTTTCTTCGTGTCAGTTGCGGCGAGTTCAAAAATGACCAGACGAGAAGGTGTGGGATTATTTTGAATTAGAAGGAAACGGAAAAGTTTTGTGTAAATTGTGTAATGTCAAATTGTCTTACAATAACTCTACTGGAGTGATGCGTAATCATATTCAATACAGGCATGTAGGCGTTAGGTTAGAGGCTGGCCAAAGCCAGCAAATGTGTCAATCACGTCATTCACTACAACCCGCCGGCACTGCGATCCCGTCCGCGCCGTCTGTTCCTCTAACGAAGACCCACTACGGTGGTGGTGCGGGATGTCCAGGCGCTTTCTGAAACTCTTATCGGCTTGCTTTTCGTTATCTCTGCGTGCCTGCGACTTCAGTTCCTGCCGAGCGCGTTTTTTAAAGTGCAGGAATTTTATTGTTAACGTAATCGCCTCAGGTCCCATCTTTCTCCAGACCACGCTGATAATTTCACTGAACAAATAACGCATGGTCTGAGTAAGTCAAATGGGCCTTGTTGCATTTTTTTTGTTTTTAAAAACTTTCGTTTAAGCGACAGTCAAATTAGTCATCGTGCACATCCCTATTCCAAACCCGTAAGACTTTTGTTCATCTTCGGAACACAATTTAAGATATTTTTGATGAAATCTGAGAGCTCTCTGACCCTCCCATAGACAGCAAGGTAACTACCACGTTCAAGGTCCAGAAAATTACCAAGATGATCGACAAAGTAGTCCGTGTGACATCAGTGGTTCAACTGTAAAGTTACGAAGCTACGAGAATACTTTTTTGCGCAAAGAAAACAAAAATAACTACTTTATTCCACATTTTCGTCTCTACTATGTTACTTGTGGACGCGCGCTCACGGTACTGTCTTACGAAGGTCTTACGGGTTTCGAACAACACAAGGGTGAGTAATTAATGACAGAATTTTCATTTTTGGGTGAACTAACCCTTTAACTTCGATTTAAAATCATGTACAGAGGACAGGGATCTCAGACTAAAGGGAAGGCTATTCCAGAGCCTAGGTCCAACAGCAGCAAACGCACGATCCCCTCTTGACTTCAGTCATGTTCGAGACTGAGCTAGAGTAACTGTTTGTGGACTCCAGTTAGAAATCTGGCTGCAGCATTATTGAACCAGAATTATATCTGGTGTCTGAATAATTTTTGGTTTGACTGTGTATATATATATTATAACATCATGACTATAAAATGTACCTTCCTCTGTGTGTGTGTGTGTGTGTGTGTGTGTATAGGTGGTGGGCAGTATGGACGCTCATCCCAGCAGGTACTGCGCCACGGTGCGTGTCCAAAGACCCAGACAGGAAGTGATTCAGGACTTGGCCTCTATGGTGCGAGAGTTACTCATTCAGTTCTACAAGTCCACTCGCTACAAACCCACTAGAATCATCTTCTACAGAGACGGCGTGTCTGAGGGCCAGTTTAGACAGGTGTGGATTCGTTTGTCTTTCCCATCACTAATAGAATAATTTTCTGTTCATTAAAATATAAAACATGATCCTGTTTCTGATCATAGGTATTGTATTATGAGCTGCTGGCCATTCGAGAGGCCTGTATCAGTCTGGAGAAGGAGTACCAGCCTGGCATCACGTACATAGTGGTGCAGAAACGCCACCACACGCGCCTCTTCTGTGCCGATCGCAATGAGAGGGTGAGTGTGCCACCTGTTTAAGCGCCTCTGGAGAGTCAGATTACTCTAAAATTATGATGAAAGAAGGCTTATGATTGTAAGACTTCAGATGCATAGTGTACTTGAGTTCACAGAAGTGACAGGAAGGATCAGTCGTCAAAACAATGAAGGATGCGTGACACTGAATGCTAACGCCCCTAACAGCTGCTGTATACACAAGTGTGCCAAAAAGGGGGTTTCTACTTACCAGTGTTGTTTTAGTATTATTAGCATTTATTTTTATTTGTTCAGTTTTCATCAACTTTAGTCATAGTAATTTTGTGTGCTCGTCATTTTTTTGTATCATTGAGTCTTTTATAGTATTTATTAATATTTTGATATTTTTGATATGTTCCTTTTTAATTTTTATTTTGGTTAAAGTGTTTTTGTTTTAAATATGTGTAGTTTTTATTCATTTTTATTTCATTTTTTGTTTTAAACTGAATGAAAAAGAGAAATGTTGCCTTGGCAATTAGCTGAAATAAAACAAGTTGAAGTTTTTTATATTTTATTTGTTAATGTTATTATTTTTATGGTTAACATTTTTTTAAGGTTTAAATTGTTTTTTTTTAATATGTGTTTTGTTTTTTTTTATTACGGAAACTTATTTTATTTCAGTTAGGGTGCCAGTGCGACATTTTCTGTTTAAGTTTTCAATCTAATATTTATGTTATTATATCTCAGCTCTATTTCAGTTAACAAAAGCTGTTAGTTAATAATAACACTACTTGTTTTATACAAGTAGAAGAGCATATAGTAGTGTCTGAAAAAACTTTAATGTTGATACACTATTAATGCAGTGGTTTTATCAACACCTGTTGCACTTTATTTGTACTCTCTAAAATGCCCATCCCGAGTTAATTTTAAGATTAAAATTAAGGAGAGTTTATCAAGAACTCTGGAATGTCATCTGGTGAAGTGTTTTCAGACAAACCTGAAGGCTGCACCTTTTTTGAAAACATAATTTTGGCATTGATTGCGTTCTTTAAATGACTCCGTTTATTTCCTCCACAGGTGGGTCGCAGCGGAAACATTCCTGCTGGTACGACAGTCGACACGGATATCACACACCCCTACGAGTTTGACTTTTACCTCTGCAGTCATGCTGGAATACAGGTACAGACAAACACATTTTCATGGCCCGAAATGTCACTTCCTCCTGCCTTTTAAGCTGCCCGCTGGTCCGGTGTTGTGTGTAAAACGCCTTCTTGTTCACTCGACAAATGATTTTGCACGCAGATTTGAATTTAGCAGCGTGAATAACTGTTATGTAATCCAGTACAGGCATCCAGTCTTTAGTATATGTTGGTGAATGGCACAAAATTACTCCAAAAAACTCGAAAGAAAAATGTCTGGACACATTATAATATGAAATGTGTTTAAATGCATGGAAGCTAATTTCTGCCATGGATTAAAAATAAGAAAAGTAATTGCGACTTATCTCACAATGCTGAGTTTATATTTCACATGTCAGACTTGGTTCTCAGAATTGTGATAAACTTTACAGAATTATGAGATGTAAACTTGTAATTTTACGGAAAAAAGTCTGAATTATAAAACTTGCTCTCAATTTTGAGGAAACATTTTTGATTTTTTTCCCCCCACTACTGGGTTTTTTATTTTCAGAATTATGAGTTGAAATCTCACAGTTTTTCTCAGAATCGATATAAACTACAATGCAGAAAAAATATATATATATAATTTTATATAAATATATATAATTTCTTTTTTTTACGTCTTTGATAATGGTTTTATTTAATAAAAATAAAATTTCTTTACAAATGTCTTGTTTTTGTGATAGTCCCTCAAAAACATCCTAATGCGACAGCCCTGTCAGTCCGATCAAGCTACAGTATCGTACAAGATGTTTTTGAAAGCGTACCTTGTGCATTCGTGAGTTTGACTCCTCTTCCTCTTTTCTCAGGGCACCAGCCGACCCTCCCACTACCATGTCCTGTGGGACGACAACTGCTTCACTGCTGATGAGTTCCAGCTGCTCACTTACCAGTTGTGCCACACGTACGTGCGCTGCACCCGCTCCGTCTCCATCCCCGCGCCAGCCTACTACGCCCATCTGGTGGCCTTCCGTGCGCGATACCACTTGGTGGACAAAGAACACGACAGGTGTGTGTGCCAAGACCCAAATCTGTGGCATTGTCCTACAATAGCACTGTTACTGATGATATAGCTAAAAAGTTTTGTATTGTTAGGTGAATTAGACCACAGGTTGTTAACTCCCAGCATGCTTTGCATATTGCTGGATCAGGAGAGCAAATGTTGAATTTAAGTGTTATTCTATGTCTTTTTGGGTTAAGGAAAAGACCTGTTAATGTTTATTGTTCAGTTATGTTTGAAAAGAGTTATTATGTTGACGTTTGAGATGAAATGACAACATTTGTTATTAAGACTAGAATCTAATAACTAAATTCTAAAAAAAAAAAAAAAGTATGTTTAAAACTGTTATTTTAGAACCATTGAGATTTTTTTTTTATATATTTTGAATCAGTTTGAATCAGTTCTTAAGTATTTTATTATTATATATTTTTTTCAGTATTAGTTATTTTAGATCGCCATGAAAATAGCCTTGATGCTGGCATGGCGTTAAAATGTGAATAAATAAATAAATAGTTATTTTAGTATGTCAAGCTAAATTAAATTAAAATGAGAAATGTTGCCTTGTCAACTAGCTGAAATAACGTGTTTTTTTGTTTTGTTATTTTTCTTCTGTCAGTGTTTATTTTTGAGTTTATTATTTAAGTAATGAAATAGATTTTTATGGTTTTAATTTTTATTTGAGTTTTAGTTAACTCTAATAACCCTGGTTTAAAATTAAGATAACTTGAATTTTATGTAACCACTTGCCTTAAAACACTTTCCAAAAGCCATTTTTTCAGTATAATCAATTTTGTAATTGTTTTTGTCCTAAATTGCAAATTAAGCAGGATTATGATTTTGTGTTGTGTTCTGTGATCGCTCAAGGTTTCTGTAACAATTTCCCTTGCAGTGTTATTTTAGTATCACTGAGATACTATTACAGTTTTCACAAAAAAATTTAGTTTTTAAAAATAGTTTTTATTTTTATATTTCTCATTGGCATTTTAAATTTACTTAAAGTTTTAGTAACTTTGTTGTGTGCTTTGTCATTTTTACCAGTTGTTGTTTTTCAAAATGTCTACAGTTTTTATTCATTTTTATTTCAGTTATTATAGTTAATCAAGTTTAACTAAATAAAAATGAGAAATGTTGCCTTGGTTTTTTTACATTTAAATTTGACCTTTTTTTTTAATTTAAACGTTTTTTTTTTTTTGATTAAGCAAGGGAAATGTTTTTTATGGTTGTAGTAAACTATAATAACCCTGCTCGCTCTTGTCTCTCTCAGTGCCGAGGGAAGCCACGTCTCCGGACAGAGTAACGGTCGGGATCCCCAGGCGCTGGCCAAAGCTGTGCAGATTCACCACGACACCATGAGGACCATGTACTTTGCCTAAGCCAGCTCACATCCATCCCACGTTCGACTAGTCACGCACACGAACCCGACAACCGCATACACATGCCATCACATCTCCCAAAAGCCTGTGCATCCCTGTGGGTCGATCACTGTGGCGATGGAAGCGCGGCCCGCCCCGACACTGTGCAGCAGGATGAGGAAGGCCTGCTTTAATTCCACACGTGGACCTCGGCACTATTATGCAATATTAAACCAGCCAACTGAGGCCGTTCTGTCATATCCCCTCCAAAACCCAAACCTAAAGGGAAGCCCGTCTATGTCCCCGCTCCTCTTCCTGTCTGTAGACGTAACGTTTAATTACTTTCCCTGCCTGACACGCCTTGTACCTCAACGTTTTCTAACAGCACTTTTGCCCCTTATTGTCCTTCGCCCAAAATGAGATTGGAATGGAAGTGGATGGAAAGACTGAGTCCAGAAGAAATGAAGTTTCGGGGAACGCCTGCGGATAGAGGCGCTCACACTAGCAATGTACTTTCCTCCCGTTCTCAATTATTTTTGTAGCCAATGGTGACTTAACTACGTGTTAAAGAGTCAGTCGTGAAGAACCAATTGTGCGTTAGCGTTTTAAAACAGAAAAACAAGCTTTTATTGTTAGAGAAGTGCCATTGCCGAGCGTAAAGTCCTTTATGACGTACCCCGCCGAGGGGCAGAAGGCTGACCGTTGGATTTTTTTTAGCAAATCTACGCTCTAGCTTTCATGTACTACAGCGCAAAGTGATCATGTTTGGATGCTTTTTCTTGTTTTTAACACCCGAATTCCCTCCAATATTTATTAGTCTCGATCAAACGCAGCTCCTAGCAGATTTGTCTCGTTCACTCCCCTCCTGCACTTTGTCTCGATTTAAAATGCATAGTCCATGTTATGTGACAGATCATACATAGTTTAGTGCAATAATCCATTAGCGGGATGAGAATACCTCCGTGTGCGATTGGGGGGTAAAAAAGGCATCCGAAAGCATGCGATGGGCATTGCGGTTGGTTTTTAAGATGGAGGTGTGCATGTTTGGCACTTTTATAGTTTATTTTTGGTGAAAGTACAGCAGCGTTTCCTGACGAGTGACTGTCGTGTGTTAACAAGTGCCTGCTAGAAATGCATGATGGTGGGAGGTCAGAAGCGGAACAAACGCACCTCATTTAGTCTAACCAAGGGCACAGTTGCGACCACGTTCGACTGTACGGCCTTAACAAAAAATCTCACCGTTTCAACGTCTCGATTTTCACTGCCCTGCCTGTTTCAAAGGATTTCTCTGCTGTTGTATTTGTTCGAGTCCGACCGGCGGATTCATGCTTCAGTTCGTCTAGGCATGAGGGACTGACTGGGCCACTTGTTCAAGGAGAAGCTCTGGCAGCACCTGATTCGTGCTCGATCACTGGAGGGCCACTAGGGGTCAGTATAGTGTTTTACTTGAAGGGTGCAGTGAGCGTCGGGTGCCTTACCGTCTCTCCATGTGCCATCTGAAGCATGTCCCGCTGTTTAAAGGTGATAATCTGCACTAAATAATGCGTAATGCATGGTGCTATTAGGTGCGGCCCGTGGCGGCATCAGCAACTGTATAAGATGGAACATAAGATGGATGCATAAATGGTGCTGGTTGCATGTATTTCTCTCACTCTGAGGAGAAATTTCTCATCAGGAGACATTTGGTCGTTTTGTATGTTTGTTAGATTTGCGTTTGATTTTATTGCGTAGAAAGGTACAGCACAGTGGCCAGTCAGAATACGATTACGGTCAATTGCACCAAGCACTAGAAAGTGGAAGACTTTTTTTTTTTTTTATAACAATTTCAATCCCTTTAAAATCCAGAATGCATTTTATGCAATCAAATAAATTCTAAAGTCTAAATAATTGAATGAAACGAGTGCAGTAGGCTGTTGTGATGGGTTTTCTGTGTTTTAGTTTTTTATAAAGTGCATCTGTTGAAGAAGGTACACTGTGTTTTATGCCCATCAAAAGTGGTTCAAGTGAGCATCGATACAGCAGCTACTGAAATTGCGACTTTTATTTCACCTTCCCAAATGAAACGGCTTATCGGTGCTTCAGAGTCTAGGAAGCGAAACCGTCTGTGTGTGGATGCCAAACAGCTGTCATCTTGATGAGGTGTCATGCAATTTTATTTTTGTGTAGTTTTAACTTCAAATATATATATTTTACTAACCCTTGCCTCTTAGTTAGGCAGGAAATGCATCTTTAAAGGAATAGTTTGGTTCTAAATGATCATGAATTGTCATTTTTACTCGCTTCACCCACAAATTTTTTTAACGCAACAAAATGAACCGATATCTGTGGATATTAAAGTTACGTTATGGCTTGAAAGCTTGGGATGTAGATTCATTTTGGAGCTTGGTAGTAAAAATCAGTCAATTTTTGTTGCACAAGTCAACAGCTTTTTGCAAAAAACAACACGAGGGTGAGAGAACCATTACACAATTTTCATTTTTCGCCCAACGATTCCTTTAAAGCTGCAACTCGTTTTGCCTCAGTACGTTTTAACCGAAGATTGTAGAGTGTTTGTATTCGCAAGCAACTGTGGTAGCAGATGTTGTGGGTTCGTAGCACACTTATCGAGTTCGTTGCCTGATGTGGCTTCCGTTATTCAGAAGTGAAATCAGTCGATGCATTTTCTCCTCTCGTCTTTTATTTTAGAGCTTTTGGGAGGGTCTTCTTTTAGGGTCTAAAACGTAACACGAGTTCAAAGTTCATAGAAAGTGCCTTTCCTCATGATGGTGCTGAATAATCTGAGACTAAAGTGAGAAATCAAAGAGCATATTAGTCTTACTCTTACCTTGAAGAAGGTGTTGCACACATGCAAACACACACACGTTTTTATCTCGATCGGGAGGCTCGTAACGGTGCCTCTTTGTATATTCAGATACTATAATGACGACGATATATGCCAAGTATAGGTTGAGATACTGTATTAGGAGTACGGATTAATGCAATGGAAGCGTTCATATAGGTGAATGTGCTATCTTTAGATTGGGTGCAGAGCGGACACTCATGACACAGCCTGACCCTGGACAGGAAAGCCTAGCACAGCACTTTAAAGACTGCCACCCAAACAAGGAAACAAAGTCGCAGTGCTTTGCTCTCCTTTTTCTCCCCCCCCCCATAAGCCCCTTTTTTCACGTACTTCAGCAAAAGACGGTCTCTAGTGCGCTGAGGGAAGGTTAATCGCGTTTCGAAGGTTTACATGGGGCCCCGGTGACGTCTTTTTTCGGACTTCACTATGGCTGCTTAAAAATGTTATTGTTTGTGTTGCAGTGGCTGATCGATCCCTCTCAATGTGCAATGGCCTGTAGAAACCTAGACACGTACAGTATGTGTTTTGACCCGCGTGGCCTGTATTTTGTCACATGGAGGATATACCTCGACGAGAGATCTCAAAACACTGCACCTCACTTACCTTGGTATGCTGCATATGTTATAGTGAAAGAAACCGCAAATGGGTGAATCTCACCGAAGAACGTGTTCACATTTCACACCAACATCACAAGACGCGTTAGATTTTGCATAATGAAAATTAAGCAGAAAATTTAATTACTTTTTTTTTTTTTTGCATTGTGACAATGAAATGCATTCCCCTCCTCAAATTCTCATTATTGTAATGCAAAAAATATTATGTATTAATATTAGTTGCATTGCTTTTCATTTATGCACAATTGATCGTTTTTATAATACAGTAAATGTCATTCTCTCACCATTGGGAATTACAAAATAGAAAATGTGTTAATTTTTTGTGAAAAAAATAAAATAAAAATTGGCTTAATTTTTCTCGTTCAAAATATCATTTCTAGTTGTACTACACTCCAACAAAACGATAGAAATTAGCTATTATATTTTGCATGAAGAAAATAAAGCCTGACTATTTTTATGACAATTTAACACATTCCCCCTCTCCAAATTCTCATTATTATAATGTGAAAAAATGATTCTAATATTAAAATGGATCTATATTTATACATCGCAATAGTACTGTATTTGTTGCATTGCTTTTCCTTCATGCTTATTAGTCAATATCATTCTATCACCATTAAGAATGATGAGAATTAAAAACAAACAAAAAACTTAATTCTCATAAAAGTAATGCAAATAATGGAATAATTGTATTGGTTTGTTAAAATAGGCTTAATTTTCGTCATGCAAAATGTAATTTCTAGTGTACTACGCCAACAACACAAGACAGAAATAAGTAATTATATTTTGCATCAAGAAAACATTGCCTATTTTCGGACCATTATGTTCTCTATTTTACTTTTAGGCATTGTGACTGTATTTTAAAGGTGTCATATGATGCTTTTTTAAAGATCATTATTTTGTGTATTTGGTGTAACAGAATATGTTGACATGCTTTAATGTTCAACAACTAAAAACATTATGATAATGCCAAAAAAGATTGGTTGTTAAAACGGGCTTCATTTTCCTCATGCAAAATATCGTTTCTTATTTGTTCTTTTGATTTTGGAGGTGGATATGTTTTCTTGAGATTCGGCCAGATATTCGCCCTTTGATTACAGTATAATGCTTGACTAATGCCTGACAACAATATCCTTAACAATTTTAGATTAAGAAGTCTAATTGTAAGAGAGAAAAAAAAAGTTGTTTTTAAATCATAACACGTATCTTTTTCTTCTTTTATTGAGCCAACTTTTATTTTGTTGTCCTATTTAAATGTTTTTTTTTTTCTTTTAATATATTGGAAATATATATGGGATATATTTAATGGTGTATTTATTGATGGAGTGCTTACGCGGCTGGAGTCTCCGCAGAGTTATGGGGGGCGAGTTTGGGGGTCGAACGGATGCCCTCGACATCCGCACACACGCACACACACACACACACACACACAAGCACAACCACAGAGTGGGCTGAAGTGTTCGATGACGTCACTTCCTCCTTGACCTTTGACTACTTGTCTGTCGAGATGGTCCACCTCTCCAGCGAAGAGGCTCGTCGCATCTCATCTCGTTACGGGACGGAGAACCACACTGACTTTATTCCAAAAAGAAGAGATAAAAAGCTGATAGTTTTCATCCCGAGCTGCTAAACTCTTAGCCATACATGTTTTTTTTTCCCTGGAAGGATGTGTCCAGTGCTTTACAAATGGAGTCGAGAAGCAGATCATGGTATTTGTCCTTCGTCATTTGCTTGAGTTCAATTGTCTTCGTGCCAGAGAGGGTCCCATTCCACTCATTTATAATATATATAAATATATGAGCCTCAGCCTTAACTGTACTCTGTTTTTCCGATTGGACTTGAGACGTCTGTCAAAAGGCCTTGGTCATGCGTAGAGAAGCATACTAGCTAACTCCCTCGTTTAAACCACTAACTGTCGCGAGACGCTTGGAGATTCGGAGACGAGGCCGCTGTCTGTATTTCAAACGGTCATGTCGTCGTTTTCCAGGAGGACAGAGGCATCGAGCGCCGGACGAAGTTGCACCCAAATCGCCGACCGATTAGTCGATTCCTAAAAATGTTTACAAAACGGTTTACTGCAACGCAACGCTCCAGCATTCCACAAACAGGACTGTGAACCATCCGATGCAAACGTACGGCGAGTCTGTCCATCCTCCGTTTCTGTCGCTCACGTCTCGCGTCTCGCGGTGGCTTCCATCGCGCGCTCGTCCATGCTTAACGAAAGAGCCAAAGTTGAGCCGTTGCAATCTCTGTGGCTCTGTCCTCCCATCTCTCTCTCTCTCGCTCTCTCTCGGTGTTCGCAAAGAGTCTCTCTAATGTACCAAGGGATGTTTCTTTTCCGTTGAAATGTCTTTCTTTGTTTAATAATACTCTCTTTGTAGATCATCAATGGCCTTTTAGTGTTGCTTTGCTTCAGTCTGGAGTGTATCTTTCACTAATACTTGCAATAAAAAGCTTTGCTTTTGAAACACAGACCTGGCGTTTATTGGCTCTTTCCGTTTCGTCCGTCGCACTGCCGATTGAATCACAGCATTGATTTTGTGTCATGGTTTGGATGTACAACCTCTTCTACATCTACAGAATGGGCCAAATGAAACTCTTAACAAGCATTTATTGATGTCCACTATTAATATTAAGACTTAAATGACAGTTTTGCGTTTGTTTCTTCATGTTATTGAGTGTAAAATATCTTCACTCCTGGCTGTCTGATCAAAGAATGGCTGTGTTCAGAATAGAGGACTAGCGCACTGCATACTGCACAGTACTCATACATTCTACTTTTTTTTTTTTTTTTTTTTTAAGAAAATCACC